TCTCCTGGGGCTCTGTCTGTAGACGGCGGCCGGAGCCCGGGGAGTTTCGGGACCCCTCACGAACGAAGAGATCTGGGAGGGCAGAGAGAGCGAGCGCACAAGGCGGAGAGATGCCAGCGCCAGCACGGTCCAATCCAATGAGGAGAGAGATGGATCACTCGAGTATGCATCTTGCACGGGCGATGATGAGCGCTGGAGGAGAGTGAGGAAGGAGAAAGGAGGGAACGACATCCTTTTCGTCCTCCCCATATTCCGTCTCCTCTCCCGTTCTATCCTCCCTCCTGCTACCACCCCTCTCCATCATCTGCCCTGTCCCCTCCTCTCCCGTCCTCGTCCTCCTCCTCCTCCTCCACCTTCTCCACCCCATGATGGGGTGTCGGGCCAAAGGCCCCTTCCGATTCCGACCCTGATGCGCTGGGAAATCGGTCCAACATCGCAGTGCGCGTGGCACGCCAGGATGAGGCTGAAAACACCAGTTCGAGCTGAAGATCGCCACTGAGCCCCACCAGCCCTGCAGGGCGGAGGTGGTTTGGGCCGTTTCTTCTTCCAGCCCACTGCTTTCCCTTCGAGGAGGGGGCTGCCTCTCCCCCTTCTCCCTCCCCTGGCTCTGGGCAGGCCGCCCCGCGAGGTGTCTGAGGGTCCTCTTGAGGGCCCACGGTGGCTCGAAGGCAGCCTCCGATGGCTCGGTATAGGCTCCATGATGGCACAAGAGAGCCCAAGATGGTCTAATACAGCTTCCACGATAAGTCCAAGCGGCCCCAAGACCGCTCCAAGACGGCTCCAATTGGCCACGGAGTCTCCAAAGGACGCACACGAGAGGCCGCAAGCCTTTCACACTTTGTTTCGCTTTCAGCAAGCCTCGGAGGCCTCACGGCGGCTCCAAGATGGCCCAAGAGAGCCCCAAGAGGGGCCCAAGAGGTCCCCAACACTGCCCCAAGAGCGTACAAGAGCGCTCTAAGAGCGCCTCCAAATAATCCAAAGAAACGATGTTTCGAGCTCGAGAGGGGCGGCGGTAATCCGCACCGCCCCCCTTTCGCCCAGTGCCCTCGAAGATGGCTCCAAGAGGCTTGAAAGGCCTCCAAGAGAACCTCAAGAGAGCTCCAAGATATCATCAAATGCCCTCGGGATGGCTCCAGGAGGGCTCCAAGATGGTTCCAAGAGGCATCGAAGAGGCTCACAGAGCGAAAATAAATGCCTGTATGGTTGAATCGTCATCGTTGCTGCCGTGGACATCTTTCTCGCCCATCATTATACACCTCATCCTCCTCCTTCTCCGCCTCCTCCTCTTCCACCCACCTCACCATCCTTCTCCTCCACTCCTACTCCCAATCCTCCACCTCCTCGCCCTCATCATCATTCTCGTTCTCCTCAGCATCATGGTTATAATGCTCCTCCACTTGAGGCCACGTGCCGCGTATACCACAGGACGCCTGGAACCAATTGTACAAATGGACTTTCGTACGCAAATATCTAACCCCACGTGTGGGCACACACGCGCCCGATCAAGCCGGAACGCAACTGTACAACTGGGCGCCTGGACATGCATTGGCTACAGGACGCTCGGGGACGAATGCAACGCGAAATGCCTGGAGCTGGAGACAAGTATGCCACAATACGCTGGCGACAAGCATACCTCAGGACGTGCGGAACCAAAACCGGCCACAGGACGTCTGGGCGAATGTGCACCGCATGGCTTTCTGGGGGGGTAGTGGGAGGAGGAGGAGTGGGGGGTAGAGGGAGGGGGGGGAGGAGGAGCAGGAGGAGGAGGAGGAGGAGGAGGAGGAGGAGGAGGAGGAGAAGGCGGAGGAGGAGGGGGAGGGGGGAGGACGAGGAGGAGGGGGGGGAGGCAACTGCACCACACGACGCCAGCAGGCAACTGTGCCACGAGACGCCTGGAGGCGGCAAACGCACAAGAGGACGCGCGGGCACCACTCCGCCACAACACTCGCGGGCACCTGCAGACCAGAATGCGTATGGTCGCGCGCATGCCACAAAACGTCTGGAGCCGAATGTTCCACGGGGGGCCTGGCCGCCAAACATGCCACGGGGCGTCTGGGGGGGGCACGTCTGTCATACGACCCCAGGAGACACGTATGCAACCAGATGTCCCTATACACCTGCGCAACAGGACATACGGGCTCAACTATATCACAGGACGCCTGGATGAGCATCTACCACGTGACGCCGGTACACGAATATACCACAATGTGCCTGGAGCCAAGCAGACTACAAGACGTATGGGCGCAAGTCGAGCACACGACGTTTAGAAATACGCAGTCAACATGTATGATACACATATATATATATATATATATACCATGTGGCGTCTGGAACACAACTATGCCACAGGACGTCTGGACGCAACTATATCACAGGACACCTGGATACACATATACCACAAGACACCTGGACACACCTATATCCTGGAGGCAGCAATACCCCACACTACTTCTGGACTCGAACATACCACAGTACCTCTGGTTGTACATATGCCACAGTACGTCTGCATAGGCATAACATATATGTACATTTAGATGCGTAGATG